CTACTGAACCTCAGCACCAAGAGGCCTTCCTTCCAGCATTATGGCTGTTCGCATTTTACCCTTTTATTATCTCATGTAAGAGGATATTTTGGATAGACTGACTTTGGCCCAGGGATGAGTGATCAGAGTCGAAGGAAAAGGAGGCCCCTGTGCTGCTAACTGTTGTGCAAAAGTGGGAATTTCAGCAGGTGCCACTTTCTGGCATCACAAGCTTCCTCTTGAATGAGCAAGGGTGCAGCAGCCCCATCCTCCCCAACATCTTCCCCCCACCCTATGTTCCATGGCACAGTTACATATCACCGTATGTATTGAGCCTGTGGGCCAAATTTCATTTCAGAGCAGTATTCAAGGACCATATTTTAATAGTGGGCGGGGCTGAAGGCAAAAAAGGGGTGGAGCCACTCTAAAGCCTTAGTTGCTGGTAACTAAACCAAAGGAGAGACAGTTTCACCCTTTAGAATGAGTGGAAATGATGGAAAGAACAGGAACCCGCACTCTGAGGAAAGGAGGTATGAGTGCTGAGAGTCTTTGGAGGACCCGATGGGTTCCTTGGTCCTGCCACTGGCTTCCCTAAGGAATGATTCTTCTCCAGGTTCAGCCATCTCTTCCCTGAACTTACAAGAAGTTCTGTGCTGGTCCAGACTAGAATCTTGCCAGAGATGCATGCACAAATCCTTTGGTGAAGTGACCAGGTAAAGAAACATGCTCGGAATCTAAATTCAGTAATCGTGGTTCAGCACATGTGTGGCAGAGAGCTGGGCGGAAGGAATGATGCTATTCATTGAAATTGCACCCTAAACAAACTCCTACATGAATTTGGGGATTCCCACCTGGGCAAAAAGTGGGAAGAACTGGAAATAAAATCAGGAGACTTTCCATAAGAACTAGCAAAATGTTTTCTAGTGCAAACCCAAAGAAGTTGACTAAGAAGTAAAACTTACTGAATTCAGCAGAACTTACTCCCAGGTATGTGTGTGAGCCCTCCCAGGGCAGTGACCCCCGGAGACCCTGCTCTTGGACCCTGCCAGGCTCCCTGCATATATTTTAATTATTCTTTTTCCAATGAGAGGAAAGTGAAGGGTTGCTTTCCAACATCACCATTTTGTGGGTTCAGAAGAGTAGGTTGTGCTTGGGGAGTCTTGCATACTCAGTCTTGAACTTCTTCACAAACTTCCCTTCAACTATTGCTCATTTTCAAATTCCTAGAAGAACTGAAGGTTCTTTCTTCATACCAACTATGAACTTAAAGGGGGCAGGAGGGAGTACAATCCAAGGGAGTTTCCTTAAGCCTGGCAAAAATTCCCAGCAGGGTTTCACATGTCACTAAATCCATCCAATCCAACCTTACAAGGTAATGTGAAAGATTATGAGAAGCTATCTTTCCATTAGGAATGGATGGATAAGATAAAGCATGAGCCACTTAGAATGACCTTGGAACTAAGGTCCAGCTGATGACAGATGGTCATATATCAGCTGCCACTGGGCATAACCACCATCAGTCATGAGACTGGATGCAAATGGATAGTGATTTCTCCAACGCCTTAGGCGTATTTCCATAGGAGGCTTGCTTCTAAGCACATCTTTTTTTTAATGAATCAAGTCTGGTCTTTACTGCCTCAATGGGCTACTGCTCTTGATAGAAGCCTTAGGATGAGCAGAGATCTTTGCAGTGAAGAAGCTTCTTAAGCAGGCTGGGCAGCTTAAGCCCCATACCCTTTTTTATAACCCAGGAACTGGATGCTACATGATCATGGCCAATGCAGAAATGGGAAAGAATGACTGGGTTCTTGCAGTGCTGCATCAGTTATTCCCAAATAATCTAATTCATGGTGCAATCCTTGGCATGTTGAGATGGGGCGGGGGCGGGGGGGAGACTTTCAACTCCCAGCATTCCCCAACCCACTTGCTAGGGAATGTTGGGAGCTGCAGGAGTTTTGTTTTTTGTTTAGTCTAAGCATGCTTAAGATTGGACCATTAGTAGGAGAATATAGAGAGGCTAATAAGGCAAAACCTTTTCTGTTTCAGCAAACCTTTGGGAATAATCTGGACCTGTGAGAATGTATTGGACCATTTCTGTTGTTTTTTCCTGCCATTTTAATTTACTCTACAATTTTAATATCCAAGCTGATTTAATTATATGTTACCTACTGTATATTGTCATTGATGTTTTACTTGTATAAGTTTTAATGTTGAAGGCTCCTTGAGTCCCAGTACTAGATATAGGTGGAATAATAATAAGAATTGTATAATAATAAATAATAACCCCCTCCCACCCACCCACACACTCAGTGGTCAAGTATAATAATAAAACTAAAATAATTGACCATTTGGAAACACTTTAATAATAAAGGATTATCCACCCTTTTGGCAAATATAGAAGTGCTTATAATGCATCAGTATTGTGCACTGTTTAAGGAAGGTGCTTTCAGGTAATAGCTCTCCCTTGTTGTAAAACTTACAAAAAGAGATAGAATGCTTTTATTGTGCACATGGCCATATCCAGGAACCATATGGCACATGGCCATATCCAGGAACTGTATCCTATGCATATTCATTATGCCTTTCAATGCCCCACTTATTATTCAATGCCCTGGAATACGCCACCTCTGAATCACTCACTTCCCCATCCCACCCCAAGCAAAGAAAAGGATCTCAGCCAACCTGCTCTGCTTTCAGTCTGAACGAGACAGAGGTTCCTCCTGAGTTATTTCTGGCTCCTACCAAGACACTGATAGGTACTGTTAGCAAGGGAAGCACGCAGGGAAATCCCAGGTGACTAGGTGAGGCGGTTGTCTGATAAATATTTCGGGTGAGATCAGTAAACTCCAGCCCAGCGAGGTGAGTCAGTAACACGTGCCTCACCTCATCTATTTAAAGGCCTTAGGACATGAGAAGAGCCACGCGGAGGAGCCCACGGGCTGTCCGAGCCCTGCCTTCCCTCACACAGTAGCTCACTGCAGGAAATCCGAGAAGGAAGGAGTACAGCAGCAGCCTCAGGCCCCTGAAAAGGGTTCAGGGCAACTTGGCTTGCTAACTTCCCTTCTTTTTGCTAGCACGTCTTCTGTCTATAACGGGACAGAAGTTCAGAGAGGGGGATCTTCCCTTTCATCATGGAATTAAAGGGCTGGGGGTGAGCTCATTTCTGCACATTGGGGGCTCCTAACAGGTACAAAAGCCCCACCAGGGGGCAAAGAACTCCCTCTTTTCCCCTGAAATATGTGAACAATGGAACGTGGAGCATTCGGTCTGCCACTGGGGCCGCCTTCCCAACCTGGCGCCTTTTTAGCTCCTTTGGACTACCTCTCCCCCAATGCCCCAGCCAGCATGGCCAATGGTTGCGATCGTGGGAACTGTAGTCCAAACCATTTGGGAAGGCCAGGCTACACCCTGTTTCATTCCTACTAACCCAATTTCTTTGGGTGCTGGATGGATCCAGCAATTTCTTCACTGCGCATCCAAATATCACTTTAAGGGCAAACCAGACATGACTTTTAGAGCAGCTCTTATTTCCTTTCTTGAAGGAGGGGCTAATATGGATCTTCAGCTGCTGCTGTTAGGATAGTACCCTCACCCTGGAGCCTGCTTTAAAAAAAAAAAATGGGGGGGGGGCAAATATGCAGCTGTTAAACACGGGTTTAGAGTCACGTCTGGTTTTGTCCTGAGTCCAGTACCATCGGGGCGAAGCACTCTGGCCGATCCAACAGGCGCGTTCGTGAGCTCAGACCAACCTCTCGCCCCCTCGGAGTCCTCCATATGCGCTAGGGGTTCTCTGCGCTAGGGGCCGCTTCCTTTCTTAGAAATGAAGCCGGCGCGCTCCGAGCGTGGATTACGGCGGCGGCGGCGGCGGCGGGGACCCACTTCCTTCGCGCCGGCGGCGCCCTCGAGCGAGCGAGCGAGCGCGCCAGGAAGCGCTGCAGGTGGATGACCGCACATAACCCGGGGCTGGAGAGCGGCGCGCCTCGCCCGCCCACGACCCGGCGCGCCTCCCTCCTCCCCGCGCGCAACCGAGCTGCCCCCTCGCCGCGCCCCCGCTCTCTCCAGAAGTACCCCCCAAAAGACCTTCGCCGGCAGCTGCGCCCCGGCAGCGGCCGGATGAGAGCGGGGCGTCCACCCTGCAGAAAGCGCGGGTGAGTCGGGGTGGGGTGGGGTGGGGTGGGATGGGCATGGGGGGAGGCGCAGCTGGCTCTCGGCGCTGCCGCGTGGGAGCGAGCAGCCGCAGTGAATTCGGATTCTCTGAGGATGCCGGTAGCCAGCCGCTGTCTAGCCGAATGCAGCCTTCGGAAGCGCGGGGTGTCTGTGGTACCAGCCTAGTGAAGCGCCTGGCTCTCCTGGAGGTCACCCATGTCAATTTCACTCGTCAATTTCAAAGGGAAGGGAGGAGGGGTCGTCGCCTTGCACATTTCTGGCTCTGGGGGTCTACCTCCTGACGCTCGCCATCAGAGCAGCTCTCATTTAGCAGCAATCCATTTTAAAAACAGCCCTCTTCGCTGTCGTATCTTCCCAAGCACGGGCCCTCGCCGCGGAGAGAGACGCAATACTCTGCCCGTCCTTCCCTTTCTTCCCTAACCCTGTAGGAGCGGATTGTCGCTTGCGGAACGATGCTCCAGACCGTAAGCCCTAGAACTTCTTTTGGCATTTCTCCCCAGCCCCCGCTGTCAGCCCTTGAAAGGCGTGACAGCCCGCTCAAACGCGACTGCACGCTGGAGCATGCACAGAACGCGCTTCTCGAGCGCATCCAGAAGCAGCCCCTGGCCTCTCCAAAGCTTTGGAGAGGCACCGTTCCCAGGGGATGTTTGGAAGGTCAGCCCCGGCCAACAAGCAAACAAAACCAGCGCCCGGGGGGAGAACTTTCTCCTGAAGAAGCGGCCTGATCCGGCTCGCTCTCCCCAGACAGATATGCAGCACAAAGGCAGCCCTCAACCTGCTCTGACCGCAAACGGCCTGCGGAAAAACGCGCCTCTCCGCCGCCGCGACCCCTCGTCTCGCGGGTCCGGCCGTACCTCCCGATCGGTCCTTCCACGTCGCCCCGCACAGCCGCTCCGGGGTCGTGCTGAATCACTTCGGGACTTCTCGATTTCCCGTGCAGATGTGCAGCTCCACCCCACCCCGCTTCCTCTCTATGGTTCCTCGCGTTCCCAGGCGCGCACAGCGTCAAACGGCAAAAGAAAAGGCTGAGAATTCCCCCCCCCCCCGCGCGCGCGCCGCACCTCACCATTCATTCTCTCTTCTCCCCCGCCCCCGGACCACGCTGCTGGTCTTGGCAATCGCGGGGAGGATGGGCCGGCCCGGGTGAGAGCATTCCTCGCACGTGTGAATCGGCTCCTGATCATTGAGAACGCCCGTGCTTCCCCCACGCCATGGTCCGCCAGCCCTTGGATTCGCCTCCCGCGTCCCCAGGCGGGTTGCACCCAGTCCCCACACGTGCCTCTTGGACTGGACATTCAAATGAACTGTCCACTCCCTGTCCACTGGGGGGGGGGGGGCTTCAAACACCGAGCCTTTCCAATCTAGCAGGAAAAAAAACCTAGGCATCATACAGTTGCTCATCATCGTCATTGTTACTAATCCACGTACAAAGGATTGTTCACAAATAGATGGTAGCATCGTGCCTCTTACTCGCTGCAACACGAGCTGCCTTTGCTTCTGCAAATACCCCCATTGCTCGCACTTGCGCGCGCGCGCGCGCCCTGCATCCCCGCATGTACCTGTTTTCTCGGCCCCTGGAGATGCTGCTCCTCGCTCCCGTAGACCAGTTTTTCTTTCTCGCTTTGGCCCCTCCTTCCCATTCAATCCCTCGCAGGTCCCGCCCACCTGGCCGTGACCGATGCTTCCCTAAACCAACCCGGGCCGCTACCGAGGCGGTGGCCTTATCTCTCCCGAGCCAATGGCGGCAGAGCCGGGCACGCATTCGAATCGAAAGTGACAGCGGCCAGATGGAAGGAGGAGATCGGGGGGGGGGGGGGAGGGGAGGGAAGGGGTTAAAAGAGGCGAGCCCGGCGGGAGGGGCACCAGCAGAGGGGGCCGGGGGCGAGGGAGAGCGAGAAAATAGGGGGAGTGGAGCAAAGGAGAAAATCCCTTGGCAACGCGTGACAGGCGGAGGAACCCCTCGGGGTATCCAGGGCATCGATGGGTGCAGTCTAATTAGCGTGAACGCGGGATGCAGCCCCAGTTGCAGACAGGGTTGGTGAGTCTTGTGTCAGTGGGGCTCCTTATCCATTGCAGCATCTATTTTGAGTTTCACAGGAGTTCTCCATTGCAATGAACCTGTTTTGGAGATGGCGTTCAACACCATGGATAGATCCCACAAAGTTCCAAATAAACGTGGCAATGCTGGTGCGGGAGTCACCCACCTCTCCTGACCATTTCTTCAAACTATCCACAATGCTTGTTTTTAATATATACTGTTTAATATGATACCTTTCTCTAAGCTGTTAAGTTACTGAGTTCCATAATGTGCATTGGACACTGCTTGCCACAAGGCATGGTGATTTTCTGGGACGTGAGCACAAGGGAAGGCAGGGGCTTCGGGGACTCTTTTTGCTGCGCACTGTTAGGAACATGATGCTGGGCCGTTAGTTTGATCTGGTGGGACCTTGATGAATGGAGAGCTCACAGATAGAATTCACATCTGCCTGAAGGGAGGCTGGGCATGTTAAGATGGCTTAAAACTGGTTCAGGAAACACGATGGCAGTGTGAGCATGGAGCGAAATTAAGAGGAACTGCCATCCTCATGGAATTGGAAAAATGTTCACATAGGATGCTTTCCTGCTGAAAGGAAGCCGCAAGCTCAAAATCATGTATAGGTGAGCTAGATGGTACCCTTCGAGCATTGTGCAGTATAATACAGTGCCCCCTTCATTTTGTGCTTGAAAAATAATAGGATTAAAGAAAGGGATAAATGAGAGCTATGATAGCTAAAACGAGCCTCCATGTTCAAGAGCAGTATGCCTTTGCATGCCAGATACTGGGGACAACCAGATGTCGACTGTCACTTCACTCCTTGTTTATATGCTTCTTAGATACAAGTTCTTCCTTCTGTTTGTCTTAACCATCTGTTTTCCCTGACCCATCAGCTTAATTGAACAATACTGGATTCTAGCATTATGAAAAATGGAGAAAAATGCCTCCTTCTCCACTACCTCCACACCAATCAAAAGCGGGTATGGGGGGAATCCCATAATTTTAAACACGCACATATGAAAATAGGTGGTGCCCCTTTATTTTCTATTTTTACTTAAATATATTTATAGGCCACCTATAATTGCCGAGCCCTTTCTAGGTGGCTTACAATGCATAAAACATACTAAGAGATTAAAAACACATTAAAAACCAATTAAAACATAATGAAGTAAACATCTATAAAAGCAATTAATAGGGCCACAGCACACGGGCTAAATGTTAAAAAAAATCCTAAAAAGATATGGCTTTAGGCTGCGGGGAGAGTAAAAGTTCCTTTCAGGAAGGAGAAAAACAAGTCGGGCTGGGGGTTCATCTCATTTGTGGGAGCTTTCCAAACAGTGGTGTAGTTCATTCAACTACTCCTTGCCTTTACCATCTCATTTTCCTACATGTGTAGATCAGGCCACTGTACTCATTTGAATACAACCATGTTGCATCACACGAATTCAGGAAGTGTGTTTGGGGTGTGAGAAACTTCCCTTCCCATTCATTATGGAAAATCTATGTGTAAACATTCTGGTAAGCAAAATATATGCTGTTTACCAGAAATATATTCTGCTAGGCAGAAATATATTCCTGGCTGCTTACTCAGGGTTGTCCAAATGTGCTACAATCATAGCTACTGGTTCCCATTCCTACTTAGCCACAAAACACCAGGTGACTTTGGGACCATGGCTAAATCTCAGCCTAGTCTGCCTTGCAGGGTTGTTGTACGGAGAAAATGAAGAGGAGGCTTATGCAAGCTGTCTTGGGTTCCTTGCAGGAAAAAAAAATGCAGGATATCAATAAAACAGATTTAAGAAACAATCTGGAAAGGTCCAGGTTGGGGGGAGGCGGACCATAACCTCCCCTTCCTCTAATTTGAGATTTTTAAAATATGGGCAAACAGAAACTCTTAACCTGCTTTATTCTACTATATTTGTGGAACAGTTTGCTCTACTTTGGAGTGCTACCTGCATTATGGGCCATGCATTTAAAAATGGGAGCCTCTCTTTTCCAAACTTTAGTAGTAATCACAACGTCTCTTCACTGCTTCTTGTGTCTTTTTTCCAGCTTCCTAACTGTTGTGGAAGCAAACCAATGCATAAATAATACGTTTGTCTCTGTGAATGCTCCTAAACATGCCCACAACCCATCCTAAAATCTGCATGCTCATCCATGTTTAGGGCCGTATTTCTACCTACTTCTGTATGCTTAGCTGTCCATCACATGTGGTAAAAAAGAGGCAAACTAGATAATTTCCTGTTCCAGCCAAGAACAAAACTGCGCTGTGCCCCAAGGGCATCTGCAGAAGGTAACTCTGCAGCTGCTTTAATCTATCCCAGGCAGATGCGGGAAGAAGGGAGAAAACAATGGCATTATCGTGCCAAGGCTGAGAAAAGGACACACTGCCGTTCTGGGCCTTGGAGGAGTCATCCTTTGTTTGGTCTCCGTGCACCCGGGCGGGTCTGCATCTGCGTTTCCAGTGCTGACCAGGAAAGAGGCTGCTTGCAAGACTGCTTTGGGCAGCCTCTTGAGGAAGGTATGTGTCAAAGAGGACATGCAGGCTGGCATGAAATGGCCATGCTCTCATTCATATGCATAGATGCAAATTTGGAAAGGATTAGGATAGTTTAAAGAGAACTATTTTTATCTCACCATTCTGGAGAAAACTCCAACCTGGTGGCCTGCACAGTCCACTATCCCACCAACACTAGTTTGGTAAGAACACCTTCTGCCACAGGCCTTCCTCTACCGCACCTAGCGAACTATCTGTCGCCACACCTCTGAGGTGCTCAGGGGTCTTATTTTGCACCTGGCTGCCCTGTGCAAGTCGCCAGTGCTCTGCAGGGGTGGGTAGGACGGGCTGTGAGCAGGGACTGCACCCTTCCTGTGCAGGAAAGGGATAAATGGGCGATACTGCTTCAAAAACGAATCTTCTTTGTCTTGGTTGCACTCCTGTGGGACCAAATGAAGGGTGTGGCTATGCAGATGGAGGGGTGGGGATATGCAGAAAAGGAAGCCAATCAGAGGAGGGATTTGCTGCTTGGCCCGCGGAATGGCTATGTTAACTGGGGAATTTAGGCAGGAGGGGCCGGGGTTTCCTTTGATGTGGCTGGTTCCCCACAGCGGGACCAGAGCTCTGGACTAGATGGACTCTTGCTCTGATCCTACATGGCTCTTCTGATGGCCTTATGGTGCGAAGGAGAATTTCTTGGAATACATGTGCATGTGGTGGGAGAGCCGCATTTAGAGCGAGGGCCTTTGCTTAAGGTTCTAGCTGAATTTATTTCTGACGACGACTTTCCACCTGCTCCCCAAGAAGCTCAAGCTGCACTGTTCCTTCTTCCCTTTCTTCTTCTTAGCCAGTGAGGTACTTTGGGTCAGCTTCCCTCCAAGCTGGTACCTTCCAGATGTTTTGAACTACAATGCCTATCAGCTGCGGCCTGCACAGACAAGGGTCAGGGTGGTTAGCAGCTGGTCCAAACACCTGCGGGATGCCAGATTGGCAAAGGCTGCATTAGGTAGACCAACAGTGACTGGCTGAAGGTGAACCTCTTAGCCAGGTGTCTTCCTAGTTACCTGACTGGTGAGCCTTCACATTACCGGGCCTTTTTTTGCAGGCTGGATAACCAGCCAATCAGAAAGAGAAAAGGTGTGTCCTTTTGCTTCCTGCTCAATTTCCTCCTCCTCCGCCAGGCTGTATTAATATCTTCCACTCAATTTTCCTTAAAGTAGAATTAAGGCCAGGAACAGCTTCTGACCCAAAGGGAAAGAAGCATATTTGCTCATCAGGAAATCAGGTGGCAGGTCATCACAGTGATGTGATCAGTGTGCTCGCATCATGGACATGTGTCAGGACACTGGTGGCACCTTCACCCTAGGGAGCAAT